CCGGCCGCGTCGGGGCCCTGGGGGACCGACCCACCGCGGGCCCGACCCGGACCCGCTCGGTCCCGGGCTGAGGCCCCGCTCCCTAACCGCCTCCTCCTCCCCCACAGGAGCCGCGCACTGGACGAGTCGGGCCCGACGCGGGGCCGCGCCGGCAGGAACCCCGGGGACTGCGGGGGAAACCTGGGCGGGCCGCCCACCCGCTGACCACCGTGAGGACAAAGGCCGGGAGCCGTGTCCCTGACCCACACAGAAGGATCTTCCCATGCGGAGCCACAGAGCCTCGGCCTGCTGAGCGGGCGCCTTAAATTATCAGACTATCTATGTATTTATTTTGATGGTTGTCATGGAACCGTCTGTCTTAATATTTCGTTTTTGCATCAATGTGTTCATTCCAAATAAACTACTTGATCTGTTCCCTTTTCTACCAGCCCAGGCGTGGTGCGGTGAGCTTCCTGCGGGGAGGGTTGGCGGCCCTTTCAGTGGGTGTCGGGGTGGGGGTGGGGAGAGCCACCACCCTGGCGTCTGAAGGGCAAGGGGAAAGCACTCTGAATGAGCACGGTGTCATCTGCTGGGCCCTGTTCACACCCTCCTTGCCAAGCAGCCTCTCCCGAGGCTGGGAAGTGCCCCGAGGTTTGGCCCCGGCTGACTTCTGCTCCTGGGTGTGCCTCGGAAGGACGGAAGGACGGAAGGACGGGGCCAGTGCTTGCTCAGGGAGGTCGCTCACCAACTGCCTCATTGAGGTCAGTGCCCCTCCTCCGCCGAGCTGCTCCTGCCCGGGGCGACCCCAGCGGCCCCCACCACCCACACGCCACCTGTCCAGCAGCCCTCCGGCCGGAAGCCCTCAGCCCTCTGGGTGCCTGCCGCGCCGTGCTCCCCTTGACCCCACCCCACCCCATGGTGGGGCCGCGGCAGCTTCAGGCGATCCGCACCCGCAGTGTGGGACCGGTAGGGCCACGGTGCTTCTAGGCGGGTGAGGGGAGGCCCAGCCGTTCCCGATGGCCGGCAGCTTCCGCCCTCCCTGCCCGGCTGCCTATGGGCTGGGCTGAGACACTGTGTCCAGGGCTGCCCCGTGGGGAGGACTCGGGAGGTGTGTTCCTCCAGCCGGAAGGTCCACTGGTGATGAGCAAGCCAGAGGACAGAAGAATAGGACATTGTTCTCGGCCTGTTGAGGGAAACTTCATTTCGGGGACCTTTCTGGCAGAAAGGATGGCACATGTGGGAGGCAGTGGCGTGGGGAGTGAAGGACCAAAATTGGGCCCTGATGTCTGTCTGTCACTCACACTGGACGAGGGGAGCCCTATGGGCCTCCTCGCTGGGTTCCAGGGCTGCCCCTTTGCTGGGAAGCCAGAGGAAACCATTCCTTGCGGGGCACCTGGGTGGCTCAGTCCCTTCAGCGTCTGCCTTCGGCTCGGGTCATGATCCCAGGGTCTTGGGATCGAGCCTCACGACGGGCTCCCTGCTCGGCAGGGAGTCTGCTTCTCCCTCTCCCTCTGCCTGCCGCTCCCCCTGCTCGTGCTCTCTCTCTCTCTTTCTCTGTGTCAAATAAACAAAATCTTAAAAAAAAAAAAAGAAACCATTCCTTGCAAGGAATTTTCTCCTGAACACTACTTGTGGTTGGGGAGAGGGTTCCTCCAGAGAAGTGGAGATAGAGTGGCCTCAGGGCCTGCACGGGCCCCAGATGCACCCCCATCCTGCCCAGACCTTCAGGGGGACAAAGGGTGAGAGCCCCATTCCTGGTGGGTTTCACACAGAAGCTGGTCTGGTCTGAGCTCTTGGGCCAGGAGGGTTGACAGACCTCTGCTCTCTGTGGCCCCTCTGGTCGGGACCATGGAATTCTGGTGTTGGGGGTCCCGAGCTGTAATAGCCTGTTTTCCAGGCAGCCTGTGTGCTGGGGGGTGGGTGGGAGGGTTTTGGGGGGATGGGTGACCTTCATGGTTTCAGGGTCACCTGCCCCCCCTGCTGGGATTGTTCTCTCTGTCCTGGTCATGCTGGCCTCCCCTGCCTGGTGCCCCTCTCCCTAGAGTGGGGTGGGGAGGTGAGGGAGGAGGAGGGACGGTGCTCCCCAGTTCTCATGACTTGCTGCCTGGCTCCACCCACTGGGCTTCCCACCAGGGAGCGGGGGCCGGTTTCCTAGACCTCTTTCCAAGCCTTGAACTCCTCATCTTCGAAAACAAGCAGTTTCCGTTCACGTGGGGTGACTGACAAGGGCGAATGGGCAGTGTGCTTAGCCCCGAGGCCAAGCGGTGGCGGACTGGGGGTGGGCAGAAAGCTCCCGTCTCTGGGGGTTTGAGCAGCGCTGTCTGGGTGCGGGTGGTGGCGGGGGAGGGGGGCTTCTGACTGCCCCCCCCCCCCGCAGTGCACTCCGGGGGCAGGGCCCACCGCACCAGGACAGCTTGGGTGACTGCTCTCTCCGGAGCCCTGGGGCCCCGCGGCCGGCCCCCTCCTCCAGGAAGCTCTCCAGCCTCTCCATCCCTCTGTCGCTCACCCCCAGGTCCCCTGTTCAACCCACGGGACTTTGCAGAAATCAGGCTGGAGGAATTTATTGCTGGTCTGTGCCCTGGGACCGTGGTCACCAGACTTTGTCCGGCTTCTGGGCCAGAGGCTGTCTCCAGAGTGCCAGGAGGACAAGGACGTTGGTGGCAAACTGCATGTGGCCGAAGACAGGGACCCCGAAGCTGCGGTACAGGAGGCCGCCCACCGTGGGCCCCAGGGTGCGAGTCAAGGGCTGCACGGAGGCACAGAGGCCCAGCATGGTGCCTGAGGGGCGGTGGCGGGGGGGTGCAAGTCAGGCTTGGCCAGGTCCCTCGGCACCACTGCCCTGGCCACCCACTCCCCGGACACAGCTGAGGCCTCCCCTGCCCCCCACCCCACCCCGTCCCGCTTCTGCTCCCCTGGCTCCCTCCACCCAGACATGTGGGTCTGCTCCTTTCGGACCACCCAGCCGGGCAGGGGCCACACTGCCACTTCTCAGATGCGGGGCTGAGCCTGTGCCCTGCCCCAGAAAGTTCCCGAGCAGCACAGGAGGGGCCTGGGACTGGAGCCACAGGGCACGGGCCAGGCCCTGCCCTCCTAGGCCTACAAGGGAGATGGCATCCCAGCCGGGCCGGGCACTGGGGAGGGTGGGCGTGGGGCTGGGGTGCCAGGCAGGCTGACACCCCCAGGATCACCCCCACAGCCCCCACTGCCTTCATATGGACGGGAGAGTGCCCCCCACAGGGCTGGGGAGGGGCCACCCACCTGCCTCTCTTCACCCACTTCCCAGGCTCACCTCGCTGCCTGCGCCCCCGGCTACCTGATGCCCCTGTCACCACGCCCCTCCCAGCAGCTGTGCCCTGTGTGGGCGCGAGTGCGTGTGGGTATTGTCAACAAGACATGTGCCCAGAGGGTCCCGGGCTCCTGGGGCTCAGAGCCCCGGTTCCCTCCCATCTCCCCGCTGGGCCAGCTAGGATGGCCTGGGGAGGCCCCGCCTGGGCTCAGGACCCGGCGTGGGGGAAATTTAAGAGCGGCTTCTCCCATCGCCCACACGCCCTGCAGACACCGGCGAGCAATTACCGCCCCCTCTGTGGTCTCGGGTTCCCAGGCTGGTGCTGGGAAGCAGCTCCTGGCTCCTTCCGAGCTGAGGGGTGGTGCCTGGGGCTCAGGCTCTGTGTGGCCCCAGTGGCTTGGGTGTGCTCCGCCCTCCTCCCTGCAGGGCCCTGCCCCCATCTCTCCGCACTTCGTTCCCCTGCCTCCTCCTGGCCTCTCCTGGGTGCCAGCCCACCACTCCAGGACACCCTCCAGGCCCGGCCGGCCACCCATCAGCCACCTGGTTCCCATCCAGGCCTCTAGACCTCAGTCTGTCCCTTCCGGACCGAGGGGTGGATGGAGTGAGGGTGGGCCAGGCCCCCTGAGCTTCCTAGCCTGCTGGGTTCTTCACCCTCAGGCAGCCACAGGAGCCCGTGAACTCGGCCTGTCCCATGCCGGGACCATGCCTGCCAGGAGCCAGGGGAATGGGCAGCAGCTGGGCACTGTCAAGCCCTGGGACGTGAGTCCAGATGGGAGACTCAGGCCTCAAGAAAGAGAGCTAGGTGCAGAGTGAGGGCTGGCGATCCCTGCTGTGCCCCACCAGGTGGGGGTGGCTGGGGGCTTCGCGCCTTCTTTCTCTCACTCAGGAAGCACTTGCACACACCCCACACTGGGTGCCGGGGAGGGAACGGAAGACCGGCTCCTGCCTCCTCCCAGCCTCGCAGGCAAGCCCCTTCCTGTGCTGACCACGCTCGGCCCCACTGGGCCGTCTTCCTAACTGGCCTCTGCAGGAGACTTTCAGTCCCACGCATCCCTCCACACCTCTGCCCAGCTGGGATGCCTGGAATGGCATCTTTCCATCCTCCTTTTTAGTGAAATCCTGCCCATGCTTCAGAGTCAAGCCAGACACCACCTCCGGGAAGCCCTCTTCCCATCCGCCAGGCCCGACCCAGCCAGGTGGCGAATTTTCACCCGAGCCGTCTTGCGGCCCCCAACCCCTACCCCACTCACGCAGACCCCAGGCCGCCCACCCCACTCAACACTCCCTGGGTCGGGGCAGACCCAGCCTGAAATCGGGGGGCTGCTCCATCTGAAACTGCCCAGAAAGCTTTCCAGAGAGGAGGCCTGGGGCTCCCCAGAGCCTGCCCCTCCCTGGCTCCTGGGGATGCGGCTCTCACCCGTGTCTGAGGCCGAGACAGCCTTGGTCAGCATGCTGTCGGTGACCACGTTGAGGGCACACAGGCTGAAGACTAGGCCCGGCATCAGGAGGCAGAAGTGGAAGACGCTGGACATCGGGGCCTGGCAGGGCAGGGAGGCATGGCAATTGGGGGCCTCACGGGACCAGGGTGGAAGGACCTGTCCCCGAAGTCCCACGGAGGGTGGCCCTGGGCAGGGGTGAGGGGCTCAAATGCATGCTGGGCCTGTGCGGAGGGTCGGGGGACGGGCACGGGTCCCCGGCCGGAGCGGGGGACAGCCCAGAGGCAAATGCTCACCATGGCCAGTCCCACCACGATGAAGCCCAGCACGCTGGTCCGGAGCAGGGCCCCCTCCGAGAAGTGGCTGCTCAGCCGCCCGATGACCAGGCCCTGAATGACCTGGGGAGACGGCGGGGTGGGGGGGCGGTGGTGGGAGGGGTCTGGACCGGGGGCGCCCCCGCAGCTGGGAGCCTCGCTCGGGGTCCCCTCCCAACCCTAGCAGCC